TGCATATTTTTTAAATTATTAATTTATTCAATATTTCCAATAAAAGATATGTATATACAAAGATGTGCACAATTTTTTGTTTAAGAATACGTTTTGCGTATATATATATATATATATTTATAATATAATAACATTTGTATAAATATATATTTGTTATATCAAATAATATTTACAATTAAGAGATGAAATATGATATATTTGATTTGATCGTGGCTTTTTCCACGCTTTTTCTCTCGCACTCTCAATCACACATTCATTTTAATAAAATAATTTATCGCGAAACATTTTTTGTCTATATAATTTCATGAAAAACAAATCATGGTTTCTCAAAGTATTGAATGAACTTTCGAACCCTTACGGGATCGTTGGGGTTTGTTGAATAATTCAATTAAAACATCGTACAAATTCATCACAATTTAACGATAAATTTATTACAATAAAAAAGAAAGTGATTATAAAATTTCTATTGAAAGGTTAATAAGAAACAAGATTCCCGATGATTGAAGAATTGAGTTTTGAGAAACCCTGAATCACTCGAACGATTGTTGAATCAAATTAAAAACCTGATTTCATTAATTATCAACGTTTCGTCGTTACGTTCATTCATTAATTGCATTTTAATTGAATCTATCATCTCATCGATTAAAAAAACGCATTACTTATCCCTCATTGATTGTTTCTATGCGCTGCATATAATATATATATATAAAATTTATTTATTTATTTATTTATTTATTTTTATTTATTTTACTGTTTTTTATATTCAAAATAAATATCTGCGCGCGAAAACATTATTTTTTTTCTCTCTCACGCGTTTCCAAAATTCCCGATGATAAAGTTTTTCTTTTTTTTTTTTTGTTTTATTTTATCACATACGTGTTAACGATTTTTTTTTTTATATATATAAAAACGCGATTTATTGGGGGGGGGGGGAAAAAAAAGAGAAGAAGAAATAAGAGAAACAAACCGAAATATGTAATATAATGTAAAAGAAGGAAAAGCAAAAACAGCGACCAGCGCGTTGATGGGAGGGGGGGGGAAAAAGAAGAAAAAAAAATCTAAAATACCAAAAGAATTCTTCTCGTCGCGGTTGATTTGCATTTTTTTTTTTT